CTGATTGAAGAAACTGCCGACTCGGTCTTTCGCTTCGGCATCGGACACTACACCTCCAAAGGCGGAGAGACTGTTTTCTCACGTGACTGGAGAGGCACTGCTCGAAGGCAGTGACGTAGTGCACGCTCTCAGCAGTGCTTAGACTGAGCGCGCGCAAGCAACTGTTTGGCTTGAGGTGATGTTGCAAACCAGAATGGTCATATCGGTCCTGAAAATTAATGATACTAATGATTACAGTTGATCCATAGAATCGTTAAAAAATCATTTTAACATTTGGATGTTTTCAGGTAAACCAAAAATCCAAAAAACGTAGTTCCAAGTATACAAAAAATGAAAACGAGACATGTTGAGAAAACATTTATGTAGTGCTTCAACGTTTTTACTTTCAAGTTTTTATTGCGATAATTTTAAAGATGACACTAACAGTTCTAGTTATCAACCATGATCTTAGATTTAGCTATCACCAGTGTTCATGGTCAATTTAAGAACACCGAGTCACTTGCCTTTGAGAAGTGTTCCCCCAGTCACGTGAGCAAGACAATTTCCCCGCCCTTTGAGATCTCCGGCATCCGCTGCATCTCCCTGTAGAGGCAAAACGTTTGGCCGACAGCTTTTCCCTTCTTTTCTCTGAACGCACTACCAACAGCTGCAACTCAGGCAGTGCATTCAGAGAAAAGAAGGGACAAGCTGTCGGCCAAACATGTAGCCTTCAGTGAACTGCACTAAAAAAACTCTCTCACATATACAGTGACGCTCACTCGTGCTGTGATTAGGCGCGCGCGCGCATTGCAAAACTTTGCCTCTGTTACTGACTCTTTTGTGCTGTTGTTTGACTCGAAAACTAGTCGATAACTATTATTCTTGCCTCGCGGACGCCTAGAATTGGCTCGAGCGTTCATCCAGAGGAAGCGCCGCTCCAGGAACGACAGTGCACGCCTGAATCAGCCCACCAGAGCGGTCGTCGTCGGGGTTGCCAGCGACCGTTTCGCGACTTCAGCTCAACTTTCATCACATCAACAACATTTGCAACATTGCCTTCCTTGGCTGTTGATCGGCCACCTTCGTCGCAACGACCATCGCCAGACACTGCCAACAGTGTCCGACTCATGCTCACCGACCTGTCCCACTCACCCAATGACCATCATGGCGTTCTTCTGAGCCACCAAGTGGGAACAACGGGACAAAGAAGCGCCAGCGTTTGCCGTCTTTGTCCAGAAAGCCTTGTTGCAGCGCAGTCAATCTTTACCTTAGTGCATTTCTATACTACTTACAACGTGCTTGCTCGAGCTCTCGAGCATGCTGTTTTGCTCTGACGCGTTTTACTCTGCTCACCGTGTCCTCTACTCGTTCTCCACCGTTTTCCATTGCGGCCTCTAATTTCCATCATCATCTTCCAGAATTGCTTCGTCGCCAGTTTTCCAGACGCCGGCTTTGGTGAACTGGTTTTTTTGGACCACTAATGTAATGAATTCACTAAATTTTGTTTTATCGATTTATATATTTACTGATTTGTTCTTTTTTTCAGACCTCATTTTAAGTTTTGCATTTAGTTCTTGTTTACCCATAGCGCTTCTCAACATGCCACTTCTCGGGAGAGATGAGTTTGTGCTGAAGCAACTTCCACCCAATTTAGACTTAAATCATGAAGTCTTCTATTGTAGCCAAACTGGGGAAGCATTTCTTACATACGAGTAAGTTTTACATCAGAAACGAGTTTTATAGACCTTTTTATTGACTTTTTAATTGTTTTCAGTGAGTATTTTGAGCGTCAAATCCTCTGCTCATCGATGCTTTGGACATGTTCTGTCACTGGCAAGACCAATCTCACCTACGCCGATGCTATTAGATCGGAAAGGGAACATCAGACAATACTCTCGACGATTCCACGCGTCCTCCAAAAAGTGATACTTTATCTGATGAAGTTCATCAATAACTTTAGCACAAATGTAACTTTGGCTGTTTTGTTTGACTTCACCAATATGCGCTTTTTCATCGGTGAAATGGTCTTTATTCAATCCACTGTCAACAACAAAATGTAAGATGTTTTATTTGTGTTATTTTTAAAATCTTTAATCGATCTTTTTGTATAGAAAACGGACCAAAGGCTACATTCGTGATGTCATACCTCCTGAAGACTCCAAACATGCCACTTCAATCTCTTATGGACTCGATCCGCTCAGTTATCAGTACGTCGTCGAAATAATTGATCCTAAAAGTTCGGATGAAAATGTTATCGAAGTTTTTCCAGCATCTCGCCTAAAACGCTCAAAGTTCAGTCTCACTCGTGATAAGTTGCGTCTCTTTCTGAAGCAGCATTTATCGGTCAAGTCATCACGTTATGACACATTAAGTATTAAAGAAGAAAGTATTAAAAAATTCGGTCTTGATCATCTTCGATGGGAAGCGCTTTTTAAAGGTCCAACTCCTAACTTTGATGATGATACTACTGTTCTGAAGGCATTTTCCAAACGCTTATCGGATGGCGGCGAAATTGTGGTGTATGGCTCGAATGATGCCGATGATGCTGAAAATGCTGACGAGAATGCCCCATCAAAAACAGTGGTCAAAAAGAAAAGTAATCTCTTAAAAGAACAAAAAGAAAAACTTATCAAGCGCGAGGAAAAGCTAAAAGAAAAGAGTCAGGCTGAAGAAGGTACCTCAAGTAGTGGTAAAAAGAAGAGAAGCAAAAAGCAAAAACTTAAAGATAAAGCCAAGCTGCTTAAAAACAAGAAGAAGAAAAAGGGTAAGGGCGGCAAAAATGTGCCTGAGCCGGAGGAGCCCAAGGAGGACAAAGAGGCGGCGAGAAAGAAACTCAGAGATGCCCGAAGAAAGTTTGAGGAGGATACCCGTATTTGGATGGAGAAACGGGATGATTTGCTGTGCGATGATCTCAAGCCTTTGCCCGCCCCCACTCCAGTCGACTGCGGCATTGACTCAACCCTCTTCGGCGACACCTTACTTACCCTCGAGTTTATCAACGTCTTCCAGGAGTATATCGACGACTTCTCCAGCCCATTTCCATCAGGCATTTCAATTCAACTGTTTCTGCAAATTCTCAACGACTCTGACGTCAACGGGCCGTACAGTGACCTGCTGTTGAGATTATTTGACACCGTTCTGATGTCTAACCGGGACGGCGATGAGGAGGCAGATTTGAAAATCAACAACGCCAATGACGATGAGTTCGCCACCTACAATGAGGACGATGAGACGACCAACTTTTGCAACAACAACTACTCTAACCACTGGGTTTCTACATACTTTGGCACCCGGGAGCAGTTGTCTAAGCTGAGCCTGGACGCATTTACGCTTAGCGAAATACTGCGCATTTACATTCTGAAGGCTCGAAACACTGACTCCAAAAGAGCTCGTCATGATGACGACAGCGACGTGCAGTTGGCCATCAAGTTGACCACTAACAATGTGTTTGAGCTTAGTCCCACTGAACGACTGTCACTTTTTAAGCTGCTGCTTGACGACCTGTTGGAAACTCCCGGTGTTCGTCTAAAGATGGAAGACTCGATGGATGAAATGTTTCGCCTGAAGAACCAAATCCGTCATCACAATGCATCGTACACGAGATGGCTTCGGGACCATCCGGTTCGACTGCGAATTCGAAAGAAGAAGCCACTTTCCGATGCCGCTGAGGAGAATAAAGATGAAAATGGCGAAGAACAGGTGGAGAATGAGTCGACGGAAGCGGAAAAGGAGGCATTCAAAATTGAGAAGGCACAGCGAGAGCAAGAAATGAAAGCAAACATTTCAAAGTTGAAAGCGGAAATTCGTAAGCATTCTGCCTTTTGTCGGCCTCGCCCAATTGGAATGGACCGCGCTTTTCGCCGATACTGGGTATTCCAATCACTACGCGGACTTTTGGTGGAGCATCCAGTTGAAGTCAGATCGTGTCTTGATTCGCCATCAGTCATCAAAAAGCCTAAGCTTGCTGACTATCTGCCAAATGCAAAGAGGAGAAAATCTAAAGCGGCGAAAAAAGAGGACTCTTCCAACAACGTGGCACCTGCTAATAATGCTGCTGCTGGTGATGAATCGGCCTCCAAATCTGTCCTATCTAATGAGCACCTTTTTGGCTGCTGCACCGGTAACATTTCCACTTGTTCAGTACACGGAGCTGCCAACTCTGAGAAGCGAGTAAGCTGGTCGTTCTACACCAAGGAACAACTTGACGATCTAATTGCATCGCTCAACAGTCGTGGCTATCGTGAAAATGATCTTAAAAACTCGCTAAATATCGAAAAGGACTCCATTCTGAAGGATCACCTTGAGCAGTTTGTTCCCACTACTCTGAACAGCAATTATGTGCCACCGCCGCCACCACCACCACCTCTAGTGGCTTCTGAACAGGTAGATAGCAGTGACGAAAGTAATCTGCTTCGCAAGTCGGAACGTATTCAAAACATAATCTACGAAAAGGCAATCCTGGGACCCAAGTTGACTGCGCCTGTGACAGTTCATGTACCCTCTGATACTAAATACTCAACTACATTGCCAGCAGAGGCACATGCAGCTCAGCTGGCGGAAAGACTTTTGGAGCTCGAAGATCGGGTTTTTAATTCTTGCTTTTGTAAGTGTTTCAAGTCTTTTCTTTTTATTCACTTTATTGTTATTAATCTCTGTTCTCTTTCTTTCTTCAGCATCGTTCAGTTTGGAAGAGCGCGACCAGTGGTGGAGCAGCGTCACGGACAACAAGGCTAGTGACAATGTCAAGTCTATTGAAAATCTGACTGCCTTGTTCCGAACTTTGGCAAAGTCACTTCGATCATTCTGCATACTGCCGCCACTATCGACTTTTCCCGACTCGACGGCTTCATCACCCTCGGACAAGGAGAACATGGAACACGTTTTGCCCAAAGTTCCAAAGCTTTCCGAGAAATGGCTTGATGTACTAAAGTTGGCAAATGGTTTGACTACTGGCCAACTAAACGATTTTGAGTCTAGCTTTGGCATTAGCAACCTATCGCAAATCTATGTCAACATGTACATCTTTGAAAAGTCTCTCAACTGGGATCTTTCCGCAATGAAAACGGCCAACAAGTGTCGTGTTTGTCGACGAAAGGCAAATGACGAGATGATTCTCTGCGACAAGTGCAACCGAGGCTACCACATCTACTGTCTGAAGCCGCCGATCAATTCTATTGACGAAATCGAAGGTGATTGGTTTTGCTACACTTGTGTTCCCAGCACTGCCGAGGCACCGAGCACTTCAAAAAAGAGCGATCCAAAGGCTTCCTCAAAGTTATCGACAAAGAATGACGTCAACCCAAAAGTGAATGAAGCCGAAAAAGTGGATGAAAAACCACCTGTTAAATCACCTGAGCCTGAGTGCAGTACATCTCGCGGCGAAACCCCCGAAGAGATTTGTCTTGCATGTAAAGACCAGCTGGATGATAAATACGATGAGGTAAGTCGATGGATTTTTTTTATAGAAGTTTCACTTATTTAATTCAAACTTTTTATTTCGAACATTTCAGGTTTCTTGCAAATCATGCAGCAGAGTCTACCATTTGCACTGTGTCAATTTGATGCGTGTTCCACGTTCGTGGTGTTGCATGCGATGCGAAATTCAAGAACGATATAATAATGTCTCGAAACCTGAAGATAGTGGCGCTGATGTTCGTCGCTCATCTCGAAAGCGGCGACCGAACCATTACTTTGATGATGACGCTGACTCAGCTGATGAGGGTCAATCATTCTCTTCTCTCAAAACGAGAAGACACTCTTATGAGGAGACAAACTCTCGCACTCAACGTGTCTCTTAGCATCACAATTATTTCCCCCTTTCACAATATCCCACCTACTCAAGTATAGTTAGTACCTTTTATTATAGTAGCATTTATTATGCAGATAACCAAACAGGCTGCACATTTTAAAGTGATTACTTCTGGTTAAGTGAAACTTGACCCTATTTGAAAGCACATTTGTGTTTATATTACTATTTGCCCGGCCGATTAATTTGATATTTCATTGTGTTCGACTCCACTTTCACCATTTCCACTCAAAAATCATTTACACTACTACCAATAACTAATAATCTCCAAGTTTAAATTCAACAAAGACTGACACGAATTAAATCTTATACTTACATTTTTTAAGAGTATGATCATTATTCTTTTAAATTATCATCCCTAAGATCTTCTTGTTACAATTATTCTTTGTAAAACTGGACTTTCAAGCAGTAAGTCTGTTTTTTTATTTTCTTCAAACCAATAAAAATGCGCACATATTAATTACATTTAATTTAGGAATGACAAAATAATGCTCGATCTAAGAGAGAAGGTGTCCCCTCTCCTCAGCCTAGACCTCATCCTTGATATGGCTANAAAATGCGCACATATTAATTACATTTAATTTAGGAATGACAAAATAATGCCCGATCTAAGAGAGAAGGTGTCCGCTCTCCTCAGCCTAGACCTCATCTTTGATATGGCTAATCCGCCCTCTGCACTTGACAGCTGTTTGCTGTTCTTCGGAGAGCAGCTGTGTTTGTCTTCCCACCACCACCACCACCAGTGGATCTCCTGGTGCGACACTGTTTCACATTTGGTTTGCTCATTCTCTCATTAGGCCTCGCTCAGTGACTCTTCTACTCTTCCTCTCTTTGCCCTCATCTCGCTTTGATCGGATTAACTGCCTCCTGTTCATGAATAGAGTAGAGTACCGCGGCAAGGTAACCACTGCAGGCAGGCACTCTTCTTCATCTGAGCGGCTGTCTGATCGGCAGTCTTGACTAAGGTGTAGCTAGCTGCATTCTTTACATGCCGAGCGTCAAGATTCAGGCAGGCAGGCAGAGGCAGTCAGGTTGCCCTACTACTGCACTCACCACCACAGGGGTGAGAGCCTGTGGAGGCAAGAAATACCCTCACACAGCCTGATTTATCGGGCAGCTAGCTGTGCTGCTGTGTTGCTGTTGCCTTCTGGCCTTCTCATGTGGCGCGCAAAGACCATCCCAGTGTCGGGCAACTGTTGCTGCTGATGGCGGTGGTGGAGGTAGTGGTGGAGGTAGTGGTAGTAGTGGTGCACCTTTGAAGACACTCGCCCGCGCGCGGTCGAAGGTCTTAGTGCGCTGGCTGTGGCAGTGCTCTTGCTCTCGCTGGTGGTGATCCCCCTGATGAGGGCAAGTGTGGCATTCTCCACTGGCCACCGCCGTCCAGACAACAGCAGCACACATTCAGCCACAGGCAACATCAAGTGCCCACTCGCTGTGCGCCCCATCACTCGCTGCTGATGAGGACCATTCTGATTCACTGGACATCATAATGCTGCTGTCTATTGTGAACACTCACTTTTAGTAGTAGATGAGTCACATTATCAGTTTAATCATTCCATTCTTCGCTCCATCTGCTCACCCTTCAGTCGCCTTCTTCGACAACAACAATGTCCTGACCAGTGCCCCTTTACCTCCACTACCTGTCACAATTCACCACCGCCACCATGCTACAGCAGCAGCAGGCGTACCTGCACTCTCACCTGTCCCCTTATGGGTCTAATAACCTGGTGGCCCCTCCGCAGCCGCCCCAGCCAGGCCAGATGGACAGCTACTTCAACTCCAACATGATGCGCTCCAACAGGCTGTCATCTCAGCTGGACAGCGATCAACAGATGGCCCACATGTTCAGGCACACTCCAGTGCAGTACCCGGTGCCACCGCCGCCACCGGTGCAGATGCTTAAATCGGGTAGAGCATTCGGAGATATGTACAACGACGAGGGCTCAAACATCTACACTGAGCCTACCCTAGTTGACCATGACATGATTGCAGCACACAGCAGAGCGGAACCAGCCATGGTCGTCAGTGCTCTGGGGGCCATGTCGGCGCCCTTGCCTCCGCCACCGCCACCACCTCCCATCTTCACAGCTTCCCTCATTGAAGCAGCCACTCATCCACCAGAATCCTCTTCGGCCATGTTTCCCTGCTCAAATTTGCCCCGTTCAGGCCACCACCACATCACCGCCCACCACAAAACTGTGTCTGACGAGTTTAGCTTCGTTGACATGATCACCAGTCAGTCCTGTGAATCAGTCGCTCAGCAGACAAATCACTCTCAGCTGACCATCACCGGGCAAGATTTGGAGATCACGCTAAACAACAATGGCGAAATGACGCAAACGGTGATCAGCAATCAGGCGAAGCAGACGGCAGTTACGGGCGGTGCCGTCAATGACGTCGATGCCATCGCCTCAAACACCGCCCCCGCCAACCCTCACCTCCTCTACTACTACTCCAATCAACGCATCGAGTTTCTGCCTCTTTGCGACCTCCTCTTCAACATCATCTCACTGGCGGCGTACTTCTGCGACGTCGTCTTTGACTCCGTCACCGCCTACACACTGTACCTGAATGAGCAGATTCTCTGGCTGGTGGTGGCACTGCTGCTCATCTTCACCTCAGCCATCATCAGTCAGCTGCTGTCCTACAAGTGGTACCTGCGGGAGAGACGGTTCAGAGAGCAGATGCGCTACCTCCATCGACGAGAGTGGGCGGCAGCAGGGGTTGCTGGTGGTGAACATTCCGAAGAAGAAGAGGCAGAGGCCATACTGACTTCGCCCTATGAGGTGCACTCACCGCTGGCACTGGCCGCCACCCACCTCTGCCTTTGTGGCGTTCTCCTCAGATACTTTAAGCTCTTTGTGCCGGTAAACCTGTCGACGGTGAAAAGGGAAGTGAGGGATCTTTGCGTCCTTCGAATGGTGCACGGCTTCTGCCAGGCCGGACCAATGCTTCTACTTCAGGTGTACCTGGTGTGGATGAAGCCAGCAGACGCCGTTACTGACCTCAACATCATCTCCATCTTTCTCTCGCTCTTCTCCCTCTGTTGGGCACTGTCCTCCTTCAGTAAGAACATTCGCCAGTGTCAGATACACAAACTGGTGCTCACCTGGCTCGGGGTGATCTTTCAGTTTTTCTGGAGAATCGGGTAAAGACTGATCCCTTGACTTGCTGGGTTAGTTGCTTACTAATTTCCCATTTATTTGCAGAACGGTCACTTCACGCATCGTAGCCCTGACCATCTATGCCACCGTCTACCAGCAATGGATCTTTGTAGTTCTTTTACTTCACTGGTTCTCAATGTTTTTGTGGCTTTCAACGCCAAACATCAATGCAGCTCACGGAAACACCATCGAGGAGGGTGCAAGTGACGCACAGAAGAAGCAAACGAAAAGAGAGCGCATTCGACAGAATGCTCTTATTGCTTGGGTGTACCTCTTTTGCTTCATCAACATGGAAAACGTAAGTTGGGCGTTGTTTTAGAGAGAGAGCACTGAAGTTCTAATCAATACCTACAAAATCCTAAAACAGACTAATCCTCGCTACAAGATGATCGTCTTCTACTTGATCATGTTTATGGAGAATGTCCTTCTCCTCTCTATTTCCACCTTTTTCGGCAACCACCTGTTCGTCCCATGGTATCGCGCTCTCGCCCATTATCTCGTCTTTGGAAGCTTTTTCTTCGGCATCTTTTTCATGTTTCTCTACTACCGCTTCTTTCACATCCGCCACCTGAAGCACACACTGGACGGCATTGAGGGCATAGAGGCAACTCTGAGCGGCAACCACCGACTGAACTATGCAGGCTGTCAGAATGAAGCTCTCGGACAGGGCATACTCGTCGACGGGGAGCTGTTTAGCTGTGAACAGAAACAGAGCACTGGTCTGAAGCAGGTCTCATATAGTGGTCCTGCTGGTGGTGCTAGTGGACAGTGGACAAAAGCATCACCATGGTCCCGTCTGGTGAATGCACTGAGCAATCAAATCTTCCCGAACTGCTACCACACACCGGCGCAGCTGAACAAACCATCAGGGCGACATCACTTTAGCAATGAAGCCATCCCCGGAGTGTTCAACTGCCGTCTCAACCCTGCACTGAAACGAAAGAAGAAGATCCCCTCGACTATACCACCACCGCCCGGTATTGCTACTGCCAGTTCAGCCGTGACCGGCGGCGATGTCATCATCGGCCATCATGTCCAGCAACAGCGATCCCCACTGGAGACCATTGATGAGGTGCTGCCCATGTCAGTGCACCACCACCTCCAGCATGACACTCTGGCTGAGCAGCAGCCCTTCAGTTCAGTGAGAGCAGCAGGCTCGCAACATCAGCAGCAGCAGATGTACCGGCGAAACATGGTGCACGGTCAGCATCCCCGACCATCGACCAACACGAGCATTCTGACGCGACAGATGCGCCAGGCGGGCACGGACACCTTCTGGCGGAAATCGGCACTCTCCGCACGCTCTCTCTCCATATCGCCCTCTGCCATGCTCAAGTCTGCCGAGTGTTCATTTCGAATGCCAGCAAAGCACCCATTTTCGAGCACCCTCACGACGCCTACCTCGCCGGCGCACTTTCTGCCGACGGAGAACTTTACCGACAAACTGGAGGCGTGCATCGAACAGAATGAGTCAAACAGCTGCAGAGAGGGCAGACCCACAGCAGAGCAAGGGGTGAATGGCAAAAGTGCCAGCACCATCATTCGCCCAAAACCCATCACTCTCGATGCGGTGAATGACTTTCTGGACTACGCCAACCCAGAGCGAATGATGCAACAGCAGAAGCAGCATCAGGAAGAAGATCATCAACCGAACGGCACTACATCTCTGATGCAGTACTACTACAACCCACAGTCGGGTAAAATGACACTGCACTCTGAAACGCCCGAAGTGCTTCTCCACCCACACACCGACCGCAGCAGTCGACTCTTCTACGACTACCCCTCCACAGTGATCTCAATGCAGCGAACAGAGGCGGAGGCGGAGAAGGCCAGAAATGGCAGGGGCAATGAGGGCGAAGAGGAGGATCTGATCTTCACGAGACAGTGCCAGAGGCCACCGGTGCCGGGCAGAGAGGGCGACGACAAGTCGGAAGAGCTGAATGACAACAATGACAATGTGAGCTACGTGGAGGGAAAGCGGTCGCTGCTCAACTACGGTCTCAGTCGAAGTCGTCTTGAGAAGATTCTCGAGAGGAAGAGGCAGGAGGAGGTAAACTCGCACAAGGCACACTTTGCCTACACCCTTCCCAGTGAACTGAAAGTGTCTGCAGGCAAAAGCAACACCGGTAAGCAGTCTCGATACGCCTCGGGACAGCTGAAAAGGAAGAAAAAGTACACCAGTAAAGGCAAGAAGAACAAGTCGCGCTCCAGCATGCGGACAATCTCCCAGCACTCCATACAGCACTCCTCCTCCGACTCGAGAAACTCCTCTCCCACTGACGACTCACTCTCGCACTGCTCCAGCGGAGAGGACGGCGACATCGAGTCGGACATTAACCAGCACGAACGGTCAGCCATGTCATCGGTGCTGAGACCAACGTCGACGATGCGCACCAACCTGTCGAGGGCAGAACAGCTGAGAGGGCACAATGTCTACGACGATGTGTCACCGCCCAGTCTGGCTGAGCAGCAGTCCTTCGAGGAGGCCGCGCCGAGGACGCTGTTCAAGCCCGTCTCCCCTCCTCCTCATCAGAGCACCGGATGCGTGACCACTGCCGAAGTGCACCACCAGCAACAGCAGTATCCCCAGCAGTTTGGTGAGAGCCTCACCCCCGATCAGCAGCAGTACACTGTCCCTAGTCATGACACCACCACATTTGGTGGCCACAAGATCGCCAACTACCATATGGCCTCTGAGCAGCACCACCGCCCACAGCCAGGGCACGGCAGCACTGCCGGCCACCACCGCTCCAGACGGGCCAACCCCAACGGAGTAATGCCGGCAGTGAGCCGCCCCAAACCACTGTACCATAGTGCCAAATACCAGCGCCACAATACTCCACTGTAAATAAAGCATTGTACATAGTGCACGGATACTCAATAAATGGATGATACCTCAAAGTATCTTTAGTTTTCAGTAAAGCTCGCAGGCAATTAAAATTCAGTTCTTGATCTGAATTTATTTTTCCAAATACTTGCAACCTGATTTAGTATCAATAAATCACAATTTGAAGTTTCAAACACTAGCTTACAGCAAGCAAACCTTGTGATTCGCACCGTACTTGACACAGTACAATATTGCGCAGTCATTTCTACTGCAAAAATTGTCAACCAAAAAGCAGTTAATAATTAGCGCAGTAAAGGTCATTAGTGGATGCATAGTGGATACTTGCGAGGTTGTGTAAGAATTAAGGGAAGGGAAGACAAAACATGAACTACTAACAGGTACTTGCGGCGGCGTTGGAGGCGGCGGTGGTGGTGCTACTGCTGCTGTTGTTGCTGTTGGCTGCTTTTGGTTCACCATTGCTCATCACGTGGTTGCCGTTACTTCCACTGCTGCGTGTTCCATTGTTCCAGTTGTTGCTGTTGCTGTTGGAACTCGAGTTGGAGCTATTCGAGCCCGTACTACTGCTGCTGTTTATGTAGTGTGGCCGTCTCTGAGGCACGTTGGAAGCCGGTACGTGGTTGCCGCCGTTTTGGCTGTTTGAACTGAACCGCCTGCTCAGATTTGGCGTTGGTCGGTTGTTACCAGTAGATGATGGTGGGTGCTGTTGCTGTTGCTGCTGCTGTGACTGTGGATGTGTGTGGTAGTTTGCGTGCTGATGAGTTGCGTGATAATGATGTGAAAGTGTGAGGGGAACCGATTGCGGCGCCAACGTCATTGAGAGTGACGGCGCAAGGTTGTAATGTTGAGGCAAAAAGTGAGCTAGGTAGGGTTGATTTCCCGGAAATGTACTTGACTGGAAGGTCATCGGTGAAGCGGGGGTGTGAATCGTTGGGGCAAGAAGAATAGTTGACTGCATAACATCGCTTTGCGAGTCATTGTCAGGCTAAAGAATGGAAGATAGATAGATCATCGTTAGAATGCTGAAGCAATTTACCACGAAACACATTATCAAAACAAACTTACCAACGAATTTGAAATAGAATTACAATTTGTATCACAGTTAATGTCATCAGAATCGGTTGACTCTTCATCTGGCTGTTCTCTGTAGGCGGTCGAGTTATTCCGACCAGAAGAAGACCCTCCCGTATTGCTGTTGTTACCCGTGGAGCCGCGAGACTTGCCAACCCCATTTTGCGTGTACTTGGAACCGCCATCATTGTTCGTCTTTCCGTTACTACTTTGACCAGAATTGCCACCCGGAGAGTCGCTTCGGTTATTCTTTCTACTGTTATATGAGTTTTCAGCTCCCGGAAGGGGAAACTTTTCAATAATTGCTTTGCGGTCATCAACAACTTGATCAGTGACACGAATTATTCGACCGAGTATTGACTTGGTCTGGTCACAGGTGTTGATTGTCGGGCCGACTGCTTGGTGCAAGACGCCAAATGCATACTCAAAGGCATCCTTAACCATCAGGGCTCCATAGGAGTTTTTGCCAATGTCATTGGAAGGATTTAGAGGATCTTCGATGCAAAGAAATGAGGGACGATAGTTAGAGTCCATATTCTTCTGAATTTCTGACTTTGGCACAAAAGAGCCTCCATCTTTGATTCGAATAGCCACTCTGAAGTAATTGAAGTATTTTCCAAATAACTCAAAAAATTCCATCAGTAAAATGCCCAAATTTGCCGATGGCAAGCGTGCTTCTTCACGGGGATGCAACTGGATAAAACTAATCACCATTAAAATCAGTGAATAAGAGCTAATTCCACCGGTAAAAACTTCTTTCAGATTACGCTCAAGAAGAAACTGCTTCAGAACAAAAACCAACTTTTCCAGGTTCGGAAACCTTCCTTTGAATTGCTAATATAAAAAATAAAAAATCAACGATTAAATTGCGCAATTCATTCGAACAAGGTAAAATAAAATAATTAACATACCTTTATTAACTTTGCACTTTTGATGCCGTTGCTGGTGTTGAAACTAATGTCGACGCGAACTGTAGTCTTCAAGTCAGTCAACTTTATAATAGGAACTGATGCCTTATCAAGAACTTTGATACTGTTCTCATCCACAATGCCAGATTCAAGAAGTTTCTTCTCTAGTGTGAACAGGGGTATTGATTCCCACTTGCCCAGAACCACCATGTCAATGTCACTTGTGGGCAGGTAAAGACCGGTTCTAAAACTGCCAAAAAAGTCAACCTAAATATAAGTAATAAGACATGTAGAGGTAGAAAGAGAGGTTAGAGTAAAGCAAAAGGCGTTTCATTTTCAGAGCCACACCTGAGCCTCCGGCCAAACATCCTTGATCACTTTTGAGATTCGCTGCACAACATCTTCCCTCATGGCATGCTCTTCAGGAGTTGGCTTCATGTAGTTGTAAAAGTCTTCTATCTCTTGGTGCAATCCTATAATGCCAGTGCTGTAAACGTTGCGAACACGCCACGGCGTTCCATCGTACTTTTTGCACAGGTGAGGATTTTCACTCAGGTTAAAGGTCGAAGCGGGGTTATCCGAGATATGCACTCTTTTTGAGTTGTGAATGTGATAGATGTGAGGAAAGGAGCCGTTCGGAAGCGCAGGGCCGTGTCCCACATTGCTTGGCACCGGCTTGTCGCCCTCATGATCGGTGGCATTCGAACTCGGATCATTCACGCTGGTGGCGGTGGTGGTGCTGCTGTTGGTCAATCCATTGCTCAGCGGAATGTATTCAGGCTGACTTTCTAAGTGATGCACGTTCATCTTTGCCCGTTTCCACAGATTGGTGTACATCTCGAGTGCGGGTCCCTCTTGTTCAGGTTGATACCAGCCGAGATTCGGGTCCATCACCGGGTTGAGCGGGTATAAAATCAGTGCAGGTGATGACTGGTAGGAAATGCGGCAACCCGAATCGTGTAGAAGTCGGTTCACAGTAGGTAAATAGAGCACACTGGTAGAGAGTGGCTGTGGGGGCTTGCACCGCTCTTCGTCGCTGTTTGGTCGCTGCCGCTGCTGCTAAGGCAAAGCGAGACTCTCGCACGCCAGCGAAGCCGAAAAGCTGCTGCTGGTGGTGTAGTGGCGCGATGTGAACTTGTGTCTTTGCTCTATTCTCCGCGGACTTGGATGCGGAACGCGAGCACAACAACACATACGATAGATAGAGCGAGGATACAGCGAGGAAGACAGCCAGCAGCAGCAGCAAACCGTGAGCAGCTTCTCGCACACGCTCGAGAAAGTTTCTCTAAAATTCTCTGAAATACTTTGCCGGCTATAATGACTCAAGGGTAACGGTGCGCGCGCGGTGATGAGCGCGAATCTGCGGTCGATTTGAAAAAGAAAGTGGCTGTCACACTTGGCTGGAAAGAACGCTAACACAGAAACACATCTTTGTACAGCAAAATAAACGACGACTTTAATTCACAGAAAGNGTAGCTACACAGCCAACGTTACGCGCCTTCTAGCGTTGGCTGTGTAGCTACTGCGGAAAAGTGGACTCGATTCCCACCCTTGAGCGCGAATCTGCGGTCGATTTGAAAAAGAAAGTGGCCGTCACACTTGGATGCGAAAGAACGTCAACGCAGAAACATCTTTGTACAGCAAAATAAACGACGACTTTAATTCACAGAAAGGTAGTAAATGCCTGCAAGGTGCTTTGTACTGAAAGTCGGGACTTGGGAAAGGAAAATATATAATGTAAATATAAATATATCGTTAAATTAAAATATCTCAAAAAGATCAACAATAAACTGGGATTAGTCAATAATAAAGACGAAGTGAAGGGAAAGATGTGAGTGTGTGAGTGAACTAAGACCACTTGTAGACAGCGGCAGTCTAGTGAGTGTGTGAATAAGCTGACAATTTCAGGCACCGTACGACGTAGTAGCAGAAGTGGTAGCAGGGGTGGTGGTGGTACTGGGCACGTGCTGGCTGAGCAGCGACTGCTCGTGCAGCACAAGGCACCGGTTGCAGACGCGGACGGGTTTTGCGTAGCCGAAGCACTTCAGCGACACAAAGTTGTTTGAACATTGGTGACAGAAGATGTTACCGCAGCGGCGACAGTGATGCCGCCGCCGAATGAGGTTGAAGAGTTGAGCACAGAGGGAACAGGTGTTGACCAGCTCGTCGGGAATCCACGTGGGGGGCAGTAGGAGGTTCCGCGTGGCGTTAGAGGAAGGGCCCGAGGAAGGTGAGGCGCCCTCAGAGACGCTCTCAGGAATAGGCATCATCGAGTGAGCAAAGTATGAAGTGGAATTGAAGGAGGCATCAGAGTGCGCCGGCAAAAAGAATGTGGGCATGTGCTGGTGACCCTCGAAGCGTTCGTCAATGGTGGTCGTTGTTGAGGAGGTGAAGTTTGACTGGGAAACACTGTGTGAGGAGGAGAGGGAGCTGTTTGAGCCTGTCGTAGACCGATTCGAGAGAGCACTTTGGTGCCCTCCGTGGACCAAACCGGGCGAGCTTCGATCCAGCAGGGAGGGCAAGCTCTGACTGCAGGCCTTCGAGGAGCAGCACGGAGCAGCGGCTGTGCTTGCCACCGGAGCAGGCTCAAGGCTGGAAGACGGGGTCGCAGTGGTGTCAGTGGCGGTGTCCTTAATAGATGGGTAACTGGATGAAATGAAAGTACCGCTTCGCTGAGCATCTCGTGAGGAGCCGTCTAGTGATGACTTTCTATTTGATCGCCCCTCATCAAGTGAACTGCTGCGAACTGCTGCGGCAGTAGGCGAGACAGTGGTGGCCAATGCAATATCAGAGCACACTTCGATGACTGATGCTTCTTCTTCGGCCACATTTGCACCAGCGACTGAGGTATCACATGTGTCGCAGGTGTTCAGCGTCTGCTGCTGTTCAAGTTCATTAGTCTGACTAGTTTGACTGGAGGATGTGGCACTGGCACTGACAATGATGTCCACAGGTCCCATCAGAAACTCATTCGCATCAATGCCCTCCTCGACAATGTCCAAGTCGATATTGTCGCTGCTGTAATGTGCCAGCTGTACGTCCACTGGCTGCACAAAGGATGCCTGCATTTTGGCGACCTCTTCTGCGTCTTCAATCTCCTGAAGTAGAAATACTGTTCTTAAGATGTTACGAAGTTCGCTGGCGTAGTTGGTTTGAAACTTGTCGGCAATTTCTACAAAGAAAACAAGTTGAGTTAAAGTTAAAGTTGAAAAACAAAAACAATGCACTTACTTGAAAGCATCACAAAAACTTGATGCAGAATTTTTCTTTTGCAAATGGTCACCTGAGTTAGCTCATCAAAGTGAATTGAATCTAAAATGAGAAAGCCGTTTAGCAAGAGAAAATCATCCTCATTGTGATTAGCAGAAAGCCTACCTAAGTCAATGTGAATAGAGTTGCTGGAGAGTGCAGTCGAGGCAACCGGCGTCACTGCTGACTGGTTGTGAGCAAAACTGTGTCCCGGCGGCGCTCCCTGCTCCAAGCGAACACCTGTCGTCGTCATGGAGCGCTGGTTCAAGTTATCAACTGCAGTGCCCGTGTAGTTGGCCGAAGTTGGAGGGCAGTTACTGCTGAATGGCCGTACATTGGCATTGGACGATCGATGCTTGGCTATGCTAGAGCGATGGCTTCTTTTCAGAATCTCCTTGAACTGGTTGTAAAAGTCCACCTCATTGGACAGAGAGGAAGCCGAAGAAGACGACGTGGTGATCAGGGAAAAGTTAGGGTAAGAGTTTGACGAGGAGGAAGAGGAAGCGGAGGAGGCGGCCGACTCTATAGAAGAGTTCGTTGAGGCATAGGTGCTGGAAGAAGAGGACGAGGACGGAGTTGTGTTGCTTTTTCCAGTCACAAAATGTGTCGTTCCCTTTCCTTCCTTGTTGTTGTTATTGCTACTGACGACAGTCTGCTTCGGATTTTCTGACTTGGCTACAAAGTTTATATTGGGCACTGAAAAGCTCCTAAAGAGCGTAGTCTTCTGTGGTTTGCATATTGGACTGTACCGCACAAAGCCGCAATGATTTCCTCCCTGCTGATTGGTGGTGGTGACAGTAGTCGCATCGTCCGTCTTGTTGATTAGCAGTAAGTCAACTGAGGAGGAGATGTACTTGTTCAGTGATGCCTTTGAGTACTTTACGCGACCGCTGTTCAGGTGGTTTTGGTGGTGATACTTCTTTGCATACTTCATAAACTTGTTGTAGTAGCTTAGAAGGTTGTTCTGATCACTGTAGTCGTTCGGGTTGATGTTTGCATTGTCCGTAACGCAGAGAAAGTCATCATTGTTCAGAGTCAAATCGTTGTCTGTGTAGTTGTTAGAGAGAAGCTGCTCGAGAAAGTCGATTTCCTCTTCGTTCAAGTTGATGAGAAACTCGTGAAATTGTAACAGTAAGCTATAAACAAAAAAGAAAACTCTTATTAAAACAAAGAGACTACATAAAAAGATTAAAATTACCTATGATAAGGTCTCAAGATGGAGGAAAGGTCGTCAACGTTGAGCTGGCAAACTACAGAGCCATAGCCGTGGAGAAGGCCGCGAACAATCGACAGTCGCGGCAGGGCAATCATCACACTCGGTTGGCATCCTTCAACGTCGTCCTTTAAAATGAGCTGCTTCCGAAGAGAATAGGTCAACGTCTCACTGAACAGAAACGTCAGCTCCTGCAGACTTTCAATGTCTTCCGCTGACTTGATGGGAAGCATTGCCTTGACGTAGTCGTACTCGAATGAAGTGAAGAGGCGATCAAAGCTTTCCAGTCGTCGAATAAGGTCGCGCGATATTTTGGGTCTGGAGAAAGAGGGGGGGGAAAGGGTAAAAACAGAGTTTAGAAAAAATGAACCTCTCGCCTCACAGCATTACTGTACCTTTTGGGCAGGTAATCACAGCAACTTCGCAAGTCGTATCGAACTTGTTCAAGGGTGGCCGTCAGGTTATTGGCAATTGGACGGAGAAAGTTTGACTCTGCCTGGTTGTTGGTGATGGTCGAGCCAGCCGCCAGGCACTCCGCTCCAAACCAGATCTGACTGTTCAGTGATTCGATGCCCTCTCCGGCGAGAAGCTCGTCGGGAAACTTCAAGCGGTACTCTCTGGTGGCCCGTTCGCAGCCAATCTCGTCCATGATGCGAAAGATTAGCGTTATCACCCGATCCTGAGCCAGCTTCAGACTGTTGACCAGTGCCGAGCACCGATCAGTGTCCTTGCGTCCGTCGAATGTGTCCAACTCCGATGAGATGTAGTTAAGTTCTTCATTCGCATAGTAGTAGGAGTACATGTCCACTATCAGGTACTTATCGTTCAGGTGACTGGTTGACTTGTTGGGTGAAAGTGACTGGTAGTGGCTGTATATGCTGCTAAAGTACGACTGGTCACTGGCAGAGGGGTCGCGATCGACGTATTCCCCCGACGGCTGACCAGCAATTGAACTGTTTGTCCCTCCGCCAGGTGTAGAGCTTCTGGAGAGGGAGCGAAGGAAAGACAGACCATTTTCGGCCATTGAAGCATTCGCCTGGCCGTTTGCAGCACCATCACCTGCAGCACCGCCACTTCCTGTGCCTGCAGACAACGGTGGGAACATTTTGGAGGCAATCCACTTGCGTATAGAGGACATGCTGCTGCTGCTGCAAGGGCGTCCTTCTGGAATCAGGAATCTGGTTATGCAGCTGAACCAGTGATATCACACACGAGAGTTTGTACTCTGGTAGAAAGTAGCAGGTGTAGAGAGCCAGATCTGCCAGACACTTTGGGGCTACAGCATCACTCAGTAGAGATGAATGTTGTTGGTTGCGTCAATGCGTAAAGGTGGGCACCGTTAGCTTCAAGTGCAATATTTGCAGTGGTGCTCAAGACGGGTAGCCACTCGTACCGTACGACCAATGGCTCTTCTCTCTCCTAGTAGAGACACACTGACTCACTCACTCACTCGCTAAACCCCTTACTGGTGAAGCTTCGTTACAGTGACATTGTTGATGGTGCTGCTGTACGGGAATACGTCACTGGCGAGGACGATGAAGTGCTGTGTTTGCTGGGAAGTGATTAGGAGGAGAGTAGACTGATCTCACTGCGATAAAATGCTTCTACTGGCAGCGCCTACTGTTATTCATTTGTAGTTGTCTCATTTGGCGATATACAGCGGTGCTGTAGATGCTGGTGTTGTAAATAAAGAGGCTGAGCAGGACAGCAAGGCGTCCAGTCGTTGAAGAGTTGCCCAAGAAGGCCAAACGGAGGCCTTGATGGGTGCAAAGGCGAAAGAGGATGAAGAGGAGGAGTTGAGAGGAATGAGTTGAGAGGGCCCACTTTGGAGGCTTTCAGGCGTCACTTGCGGGAGCCTATGAGCTGAAGAGAAAAGTCCCTCGTCGACTGATAAGCAGATAAAGGGAGATTGCAAATGCGTCTTGGGCGAAATGTACAAGTATGCACACTCTGCAGTTGTTGTTGAACATGGCGCACTGATTTCTCTAGGGTCAAAACAATTCGCTCGCCAGCTGAGAAGTGGACTGATTTTTTAGCGGAATTTTAAAAATGTTATGCTTTTTTGTGGTCCCTTGTTTCGCGAGGTAGATTCGAGGAACGGAGTTTTTCCTAACGTTTACAGCAGTGTGCTCTCCTTAGCACAGTGACAGCGCAGCATAACTTTTTGCAAATCCAGGCAAAAAGTTACTCTCCGGGAGATAAAAGGCAACACAAGAGTGGAAACAGGTGAGCAACTGCGATTTGGGTGCAATTAGATTCGGCATGCTGCTTTCCAAATCAAATGAACATGTGGCACGTTTGATTACATTTAACCAGGAAACCGAATCATAAAGTAGAATAGAAAAGAAATAAAAAAAGACTGCATAAAATCCAAAGATGTTATTATTTATTTATATAAAAATGGATTTTTCTTTCACAATCGCGCGATCACTTCTCCAGATGTCCCAACTCTTTGGCTTTGGCCTTCTCGAGTTTCGTGACCTTAGCGCGCGATTTGTTGCTCATGACACCACCGCCCCAGTGCTTTCGGATCTCGTCGAATCGGTCGTTGAAGTTGGTTCGCACCGTCTCGACGAGGCTAGTCAGAGCGGCCTTGTCCTCGGGGTTGACGCCCGTCAGAGCGAGCGCAGCCACCGACTTGAGTCCGGCGACCTGGCCCAGACGAGATCGGCCACCACGCACGATGCAGTACGGGACGCCCATCTTTCGGCACAGGCTGGGAAGATGGATCACCACTTCAATTGGGTCGCAGTCGGCAGCAATGCACACCAGCTGGGCCTTCTTCTTCTCCACAGCGGTGGTCACAGCGTTGGAACCTATTTAAAACAATAACAAATATTACTTGGGTGTTCTAAGGGCAAGCTGATATAAAGCTCTTAAGAAAGAAACACTCACCGACTTTGACGACAAGAGGACGCTTGCCAGGAGCCGCCTCCTTGCCGTCGGCCTTAGCCTGAGCCTTGGCACGCAGACGTTCCAGCTTGGCCTTCTTCGACTCAGGGCGGTACTTGTCCAGAAGACGGAACATCTGGGTGGCGGTCTGGCGATCGAGAAGGTTGCTTCGGAACTGGTTGATGGTCGGTGGCACCTTCAGACGCTGGTAAAGGATCGCTCGACGACGCTGGATGCGAACGTAACGTGGCCATTTGAAGAAGCGAGTCAGATCGCGCTTCGGCTGGATGTTGCCACCTGATAATGTCAGTGTTAGTTGATGAGTTTAAAAAATGTGAAAGATCAGAATGAAAATAACGTACCGATGGAGAAGTTCTTGGGCTTCTTCTGGATCAGCGGGTCGACAACCTTCTTGTCCTTTTGGGTCTTCTGCGCGATAGCAGCAGGCAGGGGCGCCGCCCTCTTCTTGACGACCTTCTACAGAGGAGATAATTGAGGCGTTTAGAGGGAGGTGTGACCGGGGGCGAGGTGGGGGACAAGGGAAATCTTACCTTCTTGACGACCATGGTGATGATTTTGTTGAGAGCGACAGAGGAAAAGAAAGCGGAGAGCTAAAGGAAGTGTGCAGAAAAGCAACGTGCAGAGCGGTGGCGCTGCGTCTTTCGGCTCTTGCCGAAACTATTCTTTCAGTTGAGCGTTTTGTGCTACGGAAACATTTTTATTCTTTTTCAAAATAAACTTTTGCCGGCAGTGAATTACTGGCCGATTCTTTCCGATATTAAATTAGATAAAGATAAAGTAAAAGAGTAGCAAAATATACAGGTTAAATTGGTCCATTAGCCACCTTTTTGAAGGAAAAGACAAGGTACAGCGTGACAGCTTCCCACTCGGACTTGGACAGTGTACCAAAAGTTGTGGATTTTTTTGAACTTTCATCGCGGGCTAAGAATTCTCGAACGTGACGGTAGTCATCGCCGCCGGTGCCACTCATTTTCTCGTTCACCTTTGGTGGGTACTTTTCCAGGGCGTCCATGTAATTCATCAGAGCAAAGTTATCCTTGTCGGTCTTGTAATTCTCAGTGAAGAACTCGTCGAAACGTTTGCACAAGAGGAGCTGAAGTCCGAAGCTCCGACAAATCTCGACAAAGACGGGAAAGTAGACGAGAAACTCGGGACAGTCGACCACTTCGTCAAGGTGAAAGTCGTACTTGGCGCCAAAGAGTGGTATGCCTTCCTTCACCAGCTCCTCGTACGGTTTGGGAAACGAAATCGAGTAGACGTCATTTCCATAAGTGTTTGTGCCTGAATTCTTCAGACGCTTCATTATTTCCAGAGAATCAGGAATAGTGCCGCAGAAGATGCCACCTATCTTCAGCGATTCTGCAGCATTCTGCACCATCATGCGCGCCTGTTCGTACGACTCAAAGCAGTAGTGAAAGGAAAACTGGCAACTAGTCATGTCAATTAGTCGATCTGGATCGGTAAGCTTGTCGCGAATGCGATTGCGTGTTGCATCAAGATTGATAAACTCTGCAGTGTAGTTTTTGGTGTTCATACTTGTGAAGCGGTCTTTACAGTGCTCGATAGAGATGCTGGCAATGTCTGCAAAAATGCTCAAAGTTATTATAAAAATTCATAACAATTTACCAACTTACCGCAGCAAACCAAGTGTGTAATAGAACTCTTCTGGAATTTAATCAGATCACCTCCTTTACCACAGCCTAGATCAAGCACAACAAATGGCATGGCCTTCTTTTGCTCTTCAGTCATATTGGAATTATGATCTGCACGCAGATAAGCAATGGTGTCTCCTGTCAAATTGATGGCAATACTTTAGTTTGACTTTGGAAAACTAAACAAAAATCCCCTTACGAATAATGATGCTTTTGATCCAGTTGTTAAAGTTTCTCATGTGATAAATACGGCTCTTTGCTCGTTCGGAAATGTCCTTGTTGTTGATGCTGTTGTAGTGATTAGCCACTATGGTCGCGATACCGGAATCGTCTTCGGGCTGTTTTCGCTTCTGGTTGTAGTGGTGACCGCCACCACCACCGTGCCCACGGTCACGTCGGTAGTTGGAGTCCATTTTTGTCTTTTTCTCGAAAATGCCAGCAATGGCACCAACAGAGGACTTGAAGAAGATAGCTGAAAAAAAGTAAAATGATACCACTCAATGTTTTTTATCGCATGACAAAAATAAAAATAAAAATTGTTTATTATTTTCGCAGGAGACAATCGCAGAGGACGAGTCACTGTGGTGATTTGTTTCTTTTGCACATGGTCGAGAAAGTATCTGGCGTGCCATCATCGCCGGCCTAGATCTTTGACGATGTTCCAATCACCTGTAACTAGTTTGTTTCGTCTACTGGGGCCGAACACCTTCAAACATGGGCTCCAGCGCTCCCTTGTCCACCTGGCTTCTGTCTCGAACCTCCACTCACCGAACCGACCTTGTTTGCCACTTTTGCAAAACAATCTGATTCCTCATTGTAAACAGCCTTTACAGCTGAGCCATTTAAATATCCAGCAGGTAAAAACGGGTACTTTTATCTACTTTGTAAACTGAAAGTCTTCCTTTTCGTTTTCTAGCGGTTTGTTTCCCAATCAACAAACGCTGACAAACAAGTTGGCAAATCAACAGACGCAGTCAATGTAGCATCCGCCGATAGCGTGGAGGGTGAAGACGATATTCTCTATAAACGATTACAAATTGAAGCCCGTTGTGCTGATCGAGCTGTTTTGGAGAGCTACGAAAAGTTTGTCTCCATGTCGGCAAACTATCTCGGAATTAACATCTCACGAGTGTAAGCAATCGTTTTACAGTTTTGTCAAGAACATGTCATCATCATGGCACTAATGTTTTTGGCGTTGTTTATTCTTTAGATGGGAACCATTTCGCACTATCAAACGGCGAACTCTGCTGCGTGCTTCCTTTGTCAAGAAGAAGTACCGAGTCCAGTATGAATGGAGAACGTACTACCGCTGTATGGAGTTTAAGCATTTGACTGGCTCTACGGCGGACACCTTTCTTGAGTACATTGAACGCAATTTACCCGAAAGTGTTGCCCTAAAAGTGACTCGCGAGCAAATTGAAAAGATACCCTCACATCTTGTTCCGCCGGCACAAAGTTAGAAACAAAACATTGTAAAAATTCTCTCAAAAAGTCCAGATTTATTATTCACATTTTGCAATAAAGAAACAATAGCTCAGCAATTTTAACTTGATTTTGATTATCTACTTTAATTTGGTTTTATCAAACATGGTAATTCAGGGCAGTTTATATCATCCTTTCCGATAAAGGTCCTAAAAAGAAGTTTTGAAAAATTCAAAAACTGTTTTGAAGAGAGTCAAAGCGCATGCGCGTGCCAAAAAACACTCAAACTTGCTCAAAATCAGTTCCAGATGTGTTTTGTTTTCAGCATTTGTCCGATCTTTAACAAGGAAATTGCTAAACAAAAAGATGACAGCGATGGAAGATAAGCTTTTTGAGTTGGGTTCAAGTAAGTAGAATGCAAAAGTTGTAACCTGTCAAAGCAAATCACATACTGAATTCTAACATTTCCCCAAATTAGATGGCGACCCACAGAAGCACTTTTGCACCTATTGTATGAACTCAATCAATGATGTCGTCTTTTCCTGCGCAGATTGTACAGATGAAATTTTCCTTTGCATGCAATGCTACGTCTCTGGCGCCGAAATTGGGTCTCATAAAAAGATACATGCTGTTAAGATGATAGTAAGTATTTTCTGCTTAGCAGAGGCCAGTATATTGAACTTCTAGGAAACCAAAAGTACTGACACTTGCCACTTTCTTCTAACAACTTGTAGGATTTGGGCACATTCCCGGTGTTTGGGAAGAGAAGGAAACCCAAAAAGCCTGATCGGAAATCAGCTGCTTCAACGTCTTCAGACAGCCACAACAAGGGTCGATCTCATAAATGCAAAGACTCTTCATGTCGACTGTACGCCAGCGGTGGCGAGGCAAGCGACTCAGAGGAAGATGTTCGGAAGAAGCGGCAGCCGGTAAAACGCGCTACCTTTCACTACGAACTAGACAGGGGAGTGCTGGTGAAGAAGTTTGACGCCGATCCGAGCACATCGAAGAAGAATCGAGTTTGGCGAGCTCTTGACGAACTAGAACTTCTGGACGCCATTCAACGCTACGGGTACGGAAATTGGAAGGACATAGCCTCTACGCTCTCCTCCGGAATGCCTGGCATCACGCCGGAAGAGGTGGCTGACCACTACGCGATCCACTACATTCTCACCGACATCGGCGACTACACTTGGGACTGGAAGACTGACTGTCCGCGAATAATGGACATTTACGCTGCTAATGAGGAGCGCAAAAATACTCCAAAGGACCCCCTGAGCACCTTTGATGATATTTCGCAGTTTGAGCTGGACGCCCTTGGCTTCATGCCCAAGCGAAACGATTTTGAGCGTGAATTCGACAACGAAGCAGAGTCGCTCATCTCCAATCTCACTGTGAACCCGGGGGAAGAGGATGAAATTGAACGGAAGTTCAAGTCGACTCAAATTGAAATGTACCAGCAACGACTGGTGGAGCGGTTTCGCAAGAAGGCCGCTGTGCAAAAGTTTGGCTTGGTGAGGAAGTTTTTGCAAGCCAACAACCTGAAAGGAGAATATGACCAGCCGAATCGACATGAGCACCGTTCTAGCGGCAGTTCACGCAATACCGAACTGTCATCCGTCTTCAGTCCGTTCATACGTTTTAGTTCAGCAGAAACGATGCAAAATCTGTACTTGGATCTGCAAAAGGAGTTCCTTCTAAAGATAATCATTCGCAAGCTGCTCAAGTATAAAAAGCGAGGCCTGACTAAAATGAGTGAAATCAGGGACTTTGAAGATTTGCGCAAATCAAAGACTTTTAGAGGTAAGTTTTTTAATGACAAAGTCAAATAGTCATTTTTTATTAAAATACTTTTTGGACAGATAAAACCAAGCAGTTGCTGCTAAAAAGTCAGCGAGCCGGAACCAGCACTGACGCTGCTGGTGGCGCACTGTCAGACATGAGCGATTCTGATGACGAAGAGTACGGTCTCTCTTTGAACACGGCCAACTTTGAGAAAATAATGGCGCCAATTCCCACTGACAAGCTGAAGGATCTTGTCAACTCTTTGGCAGCTGAGTGTGCAGCAGATGTCAAAACTGAAGTGAAAGAAGAGGATGACGAGGAGATGAAGTCACTGGCGAGCACTAGCCGGGCGACACTGGCTCGAAAAAGCCGTCGAAAAAGTCAGCCGAAGCCGGAGCCAAAAGTAAAAGTCGAAGCGGCACCCACAGCACATCGATCGTGTCGAAAACTGGGCGCTGCGGACAAGAAATTTTGCTCCGACAACCAACTACCATCAAGCCTCTTTCTGAAGCTCAAAGCAATTTCCGTTCGGGTTAGTCGTGTATAGTGTGCCCGTAATTCAATTTTCGTTGCTCACATACAGTTTTTTCCCTTTACAGGAGCTCAACAGCAAAAACTTTGCAAAGGGTCGTCGATTTTCCATTCCCTTTGTCATGGAGAACGAGCCATCGTCGCTACAGGCGGAACTGCTGGCCGCCTACGGTCCGAATACGTCCAACGTTGAGGTGGACCGGCTGATGAACAAACTGGCACACCATTTAGTCGCCACCGGAGATGTTCCTAACAGTATTCTGTAATAGCTCACAGCTGATTCAGGTGTGCACCACACCACTATCACGTTGACTCATTGCTGTACTAGGGTCGTCCTCGTCGTCGTCATCAGTGTAAACAATCGTTGACCAAACAGTGTTTTTTCCCACATGTGTAAACCGCATCAAGCATCAAATATTATTTACTAGTTCAAGTAGGCAAATAATAAAAAACAAAAAGTGACCAAGACGACACAAACAAACAAAGAGTGAGACAGACAGAAAGAGAGACAATCACACAGTCGCACCACCCTGACTGGAAACAACTTGGGATTTTACCACTTGCGAAGAACAAACAAACAAGTGTGTTGGAAGGAGAGTAAGCAATCAGTCGGAGTTGAGCTGGTGGAAGTTGGAGAAGAAGAAGAAGACGCGCGAGCACGTCTGCAGCCAGAAGATGGTCCACTTATCAGCACGTACAGTGAAGTGGCGGGCAAATGCTGATAAGATTAGGGCCGAGGGGAAAGCAGTGGTGTGTGCTAAGTGCTGTGCTCTCTTAGCTGGTGATTATCGGGTCCGCGTGATGCATGAGCACTGTCTGCCAGTCAGGGCTGGTTGGAGAGAGATGCACTGCTGTGTCATCGAGTGGCTGAACTGGAGCGACCAATATCAGTGCAAATGCGCGCCCTCACTGATAAGCAGAGTAGTGCCCAGACAATGAACCAGTGGCCTTAGCGCCGCCGCCGTCGTTGTCAACAAGTTCATATAATGGTGATCTGTGTGCCCCTCCCCTCTCTTCCTCTGATCAAAGGCCACAGACAGCATTCGGTGCTGTCGCACCGTGTACCACTCATGCACTCACCATCATCGGCGGAAGACATCACCACCACCATCCTCATCATCCTCATCATCCTCATCATCAGCAGTGGTTGCATGTTATCGCCGATAAACATCTCTCTCACTCTCTCTCTCCCTAACCCTCGACTGCACTCACGTACAGCAACTCTCTCTCTTTCTCCCACACCTCTCCATCACTGACGACTGATCATCCTTAGACGGAGTTTCTTAGCCAGTGTGTGCACAGTTGTCAGCACAACTTGTCGGGAACAGAGCCTGCAATGATGGAACACAAACGGGAAAAACGACGGCGCGAGTCCTACGAATGCCTGTACGGTCTGCGCTTTCCCAACGCCAGCGTCTTCGATGCCGACAATGAGGACGCCAGTCT